ATATTCCCTTGTTCATTACGTGGGTTCCGTACTCTGCCCTCCTGCGATAAGTGAAAAACCGTGAAGTAGGGATACAGTGGTACAAGTACTTTTTGCGTGGACTCGCTCTATCTCGGTTTTTCAAAGTAAGATTGGACATGACACACAATTGGCTGATTGATGGATGAGCCACATGATCGGCAGAGAATTTTTATTTAAACTAAATTATTTAAAATTATTTAGCATCAGCTGTGCAGGTGCACAGGTCTGTGTGCAGCCCACAGCTGCAGAAAAAGCTTCCTCCTCATAGCTAAGCTCCGCAGCAGAGAAGTGGGCGTGGCCAAAAGCACAAACAGATGGCAGAGAGTTGAAATCATGACATTCTGTGCTCTTTTAGAGTGTTTAGAAACATTAAGAATATTTCAAGAGTGTGGGAAGTAACCCCAGATTCTATGAGTATAGGCTTCACTCTTTAAGGCTAGGCTTCAAACCTAAATGTATAAAATTTTAATTTTTTGTGAAGAATCATCAACAAGTGGGACACACTCGTGAAGTGGAATGAAATTTATTGAATGTGTCAAACTTTTAACAAATAAAAAACTGAAAAGTGGGGCGTGCAATATTATTGGGCCCCTTTACTTTCAGAGCAGCAAACTCACTCCAGAAGTTCAGTGAGGATCTATGAATGATCCAATGTTGTCCCAAATGACTGATGATGATAAATAGAATCCACCTGTGTGTAATCAAGTCTCTGTATAAATGCACCTGCTCTGTGATGGTCTCAGGGTTCTGTTCAAAGCGCAGAGAGCATCATGAAGACCAAGGAACACACCAGGCAGGTCCGAGATGCTGTTGTGGAGAAGTTTAAAGCCGGATTTGGATACAAAAAGATTTCCCAAGCTTTAAACATCCCAAGGAGCACTGTGCAAGCAATCATATTGAAATGGAAGGAGTATCAGACCACTGCAAATCTACCAAGACCCGGCCGTCCCTCTAAACTTTCATCTGGAACAAGGAGAAGACTGATCAGAGATGCAGCCAAGAGGTCCATGATCACTCTGGATGAACTGCAGAGATCTACAGCTGAGGTGGGAGAGTCTGTCCATAGGACAACAATCAGTCGTACACTGCACAAATCTGGCCTTTATGGAAGAGTGGCAAGAAGAAAGACATTTCTCAAAGATATCCATAAAAAGTGTTTTTTAAAGTTTGTCACAAGCACCTGGGAGACACCAAACATGTGGAAGAAGGTGCTCTGGTCAAATGAAACCAAAATCCAACTGTTTGGCCACAATGCAAAACGATATGTTTGGCGTAAAAGCAACACAGCTCATCACCCTGAACACACCATCCCCACTGTCAAACATGGTGGTGGCAGCATCATGGTTTGGGCCTGCTTTTCGTCAGCAGGGACAGGGAAGATGGTCAGAATTGATGGGAAGATGGATGGGGCCAAATACAGGACCATTCTGGAAGAAAACCTGTTTGAGTCTGCAAGAGACCTGAGACTGGGACAGAGATTTATCTTCCAACAAGACAATGATCCAAAACATAAAGCCAAATCTACAATGGAATGGTTCACAAATAAACGTATCCAGGTTTTGGAATGGCCAAGTCAAAGTCCAGACCTGAATCCAATCGAGAATCTGTGGAAAGAGCTGAAGACTGCTGTTCACAAACGCTCTCCATCCAACCTCACTGAGCTCGAGCTGTTTTACAAAGAAGAATGGGCAAGAATTTCAGTGTCTCCATGTGCAAAACTGATAAAGACAAACCCCAAGAGACTTGCAGCTGGAACTGCAGCAAAAGGTGGCGCTACAAAGTATTAACGCTAGGGGGCCGAATAATATTGCACGCCCCACTTTTCAGTTTTTTATTTGTTAAAACAGTTTGACACATCCAATAAATTTCATTCCACTTCACAATTGTGTCCCACTTGTTGATTCTTCACAAAAAATAACAATTTATATCTTTATGTTTGAAGCCTGAAATGTGGCAAAAGGTTGAAAAGTTCAAGGGGACCAAACACTTTTGCAAGGCACTGTATATTTCCCCCAACCATTTTCCAAGAAGCATTCCAATAACTCCTCCCTCCTTCACCGTTCTCCAGTTGTGCACACCCAGTTTTGTTTATGTCTTAACACACCAACCACACTTTACCAGAAATTAACTGCAGTTGTTTTGATCTGTGCCGAAGGGTAATTGAGGCGTCAGAATATGTAATGTTTTACTTGAGAAGGTTATCTGAATGTATTGACTTCAGAAAACGCAGCTGGGGGTACTGTTTTGATCAGGATTCAAATTTTTAGTTGTCTTAACGAAGAGGTCATGTCAGGGTTTCTTTGTGGATGTTTGAGAATACCTGGTTGTGCACATTTTCTCCAGATTGTGAACCGTCACGGTCCTGAGGCAGACAGGCATCTACTACGCTGTCTCTTTTCCCATGTGGATTTCAGTGGCGATGGTAAAAGCAGTGGCAAAGACTTTCACCAGGTAATTTTCCAGTAAACACACACATTATGTTGTTTGTTGTTTTAAACAGAAAAAATAAATCTCGTCATATTTACAATGTTGTGCACTCATTTCGTTAAAGCTAAATAAATGTTTAGGTTTATTTATTTATTTTGCTGTATGAAAGGAATCTTAAATCAGAAACTGCTTATAAGCTTTTCTTCGCTCTCAAAAGAATGACCTGTATAATCATAATCGGTAGTTATGGGTTTATTTCTTCTTGTATTTTCCTATATTTGACTTGTTTACATATGCTTCTTGTTTTCTCCTTGACTTTGTTTGACTCTTCTCAGACACAGTTTCTGATCCAAGAGTGTGTGTCTCTGATATCAAAGCCAAACTTTATATCTACTCTGTGTTACGCCATCGACAACCCCCTGCACTACCAGAAGGTAAGCCCAGCTCAGTTATCGGATATGTTCAAACCACGGGTCTAAATGTTATCTGGACTGTACTTGTATAGCTTCTTTCTATCTTATCAAGATACTCAAAATTTCAAGATGGCCGCGCTCAGAGCAGTTGCAGCTTCACAGGCTCCCGGTACCATCCCAGTTTTTAGAAGTTTTGATATTGACTCTGTGCCTGACTCCGTGCGATTTATGCGTGTGAACTATAGCCGAACAGAACTGATGAGAATAGGAGCGGATTTGCCACGAAATATAGCAGAAATCAGCAACAAACTCAAAGCTACGCTCGGCAGAATGCAGATCTTAAAGTCATCTACCTGGAAGCTGCAGCAGAGGCGTTCCAGCGGGCAGAAGAGGAAGCGCTGCTCCCGGCTTAAGAGGAGAGGATGCCGGGCAGGGGTTATGGTGAGGCTACGAGCTAACGCTAAAGCCGGTAAACTCCCCATGCCGTCTCTTTTTCTGTCGAATGTCCGCTCGTTGGACAACAAGATGGATTTACTTCGTCTGAGAGCGGGCGCCTCAGAAGAGATGAAGAAGTGTGCAGTGCTTTGCCTCATGGAAACGTGGATTACAAGTGAAACGCCGGACTCAGTCTTCCAGCTGGATGACAGACTTTTTTTTTGAGCGGACCGCTGCAGCGAGCTAACGGGGAAATCACGGGGGGGCGGAGTATGCATTTACGTGAGTAAAAGTTGGTCCACGAACTGTACTGTTGTAAATAGCTCATGCTCGAAGGCTTTGGAGCAAATAACAGTGAAATGTCGGCCACATTATCTACCCCGAGAGTTCACAGTGACTTTTATCACAGTTGTTTACATTCCTCCGGACGCTAATGCTAATGAAACACTACAGGAGCTTCATGATATCATCAGCTCGCTGCAGAACAAACACCCCGAGGCTCTTTACGTTGTAGCCGGAGACTTTAACCACGTGAATCTAAAGGAGTGTCTCCCAAGCTTTAATCAGCATGTGACGATTCCAACACGTGGAGACCGCACGCTGGACCGTGTTTACACGAACGTAAAAGATGCATACAAAGCCGAACCCCGCCTCCACCTAGGACTGTCAGACCACATCTCAATCTTCCTGGCTCCTGCTTACATGCCCCCGCTGAGACGCTCCAGACCGGTACAAAAGAAAGTTAAATGTTGGAGCCAGGACAGTGGCCCCATACTGAGAGATTGTTTTGACCGAACAGACTGGCAGGTTTTCAGAGAAGCTGCTGAAAATGGAGGTTCGCTTGATCTTGACCAATACACATCCTCAGTACTGGGTTACATTAGTACATGTACTGACACAGTCTCCACTATCAGAAATGTTAAAAGCTACCCAAACAGAAAACCTTGGCTGAATGCAGAGGTGCGTACCCTGCTGGAAGCCAGGAACACTGCCTTCAGGTCTGGAAACTCAGAGGAGCTGAGTAGGACAAGAAAAGAGCTGGTTGCTGGTATTAAGAGGGCCAAGGCCACATATGCAAAGAGGATCGAGGGTCAATTCATCTCACAAGACCCTCGGAGCATGTGGAGGGGCATTAAGTGCATAACAGATTATAAAGGAAGGAGTGAACAATGCCCCAAAGACCCATCTCTGCCTGATGCCCTCAACAAGTTCTATGCACGCTTTGAAGACCCGAACAGACCACCCAGCACCAGACTCACCTCGCCACCGGATGAAGAGCATCTCAGCGTGACCTCAGCAGAAGTAAGGAGTACCTTCAGGAGGATTAATCCGCACAAAGCAACTGGCCCAGACAACATCCCCGGAAAAGTGTTGAAGGAATGTGCTGATCAGCTCTGTGAGGTGCTGGCAGACATCTTTAACACCTCACTTACCCTGGAGACAGTTCCCACCTGCCTGAAGACTGCCACCATCATCCCAGTCCCAAAAAGCTCTACAGTGACTGGTCTGAATGACTATCGGCCAGTGGCCCTCACCCCGATAGTTGCTAAATGCTTCGAAAAACTGGTCATGACTCACATCAAAACAACCATCAACATCAACGAGGACCCTCATCAGTACGCATACCGTGAGAACCGATCAACAGAGGTTGCAATCTCCTCTGTGGTCCACACTGCACTCAACCACCTGGAGCAGAAAAACTCTTACGTCCGTATGCTCTTTGTGGACTTCACATCCGCCTTCAACTCCATGATCCCCCAAACCCTGATGGACAAACTATCCACACTAGGACTAAGCCCCTCCATCTGCAACTGGGTACTAGACTTTTTAACAAACAGACCACAGTTAGTGAGGATCCACAACCTCTCCTCCTCCACCATAACCCTCAGCACTGGCTCTCCTCAGGGATGTGTGTTGAGCCCCCTTCTGTTTACTCTGCTCACATATGATTGTGCAGCTACCCATCCAGGCTGTCACATTGTAAAGTTTGCAGATGATACAGCGGTGGTGGGATGCATCACAAACAATGATGAGTCCAGCTACAGGCAGGAGGTGGAACACCTGGAGAGCTGGTGCAGAGAGAATAACCTTCACATCAATGTGAAGAAGACAAAGGAGATGATTGTGGACTTCAGAAGGAACAAAAACACCTACACCCCCCTGAACATAAGAGGATCTGCGGTGGAAGTGGTCTCCAGCTACAAGTACTTGGGTGTACACATGAATGACAACCTCAGCTGGAGCAACAACACCACCAGCCTGATCAAGAAAGCTCATCAGAGACTACTTCCTCAGACGGCTGAGGCGAGCTGGTCTGGGAAGCTCAGTCCTCACCTCCTTCTACAGGTGTGCAGTGGAGAGCATCCTGTGCTCCAGCATCAACGTGTGGCATGGAGGCTGCACAGCTGCAGAAAGAAAAGCTTTGCAGAGAGTGGTGAAGGCTGCACAGAAATCTGTTGGAATCGGTCTCCCCACCATCACAGACATCTACACCTCCAGATGCAGGAAGAGGGCCACCTGCATCATGAAGGACCCCACTCACCCAGCACACACACTTTTTGCCCCACTCCCCTCAGGAAGGAGGTTAAGGAGCATTAAGTGTAGAACCACTAGACTGAGGAACAGCTTCTACCCTGAGGCTGTTAGACTCATGAATCTCTAACTAGAATAATCACTGTGAAAAACCATATCATGTTGCTGCTGATCTGTTTCATGTTGCTGCTGATCTGTTTCAATGTTGATGTGTTCATGCGTGCACATCTGCTCACAGACTCATGTTCATGTTTGTGCTGATGTTCAATGTTTTATGTTATGAGTGCTTAGTGTATATTTAGTTGATGTTTTTCTTAGTTCATATCTTAGATGTTATTACTGTTTTTCTTAGACATTTTATTGTTGGATGTAACTGGGACCCTGTGTACATAATTTCGCTCCACCACATGTACCACATGAGGTGCGAATGACAATAACGAAACTCTGACTCTGACTCTAAGTTCTTTACAACACAATCTGTTCCCTCATTCACCCATCCACACAGCACTCTACTAGATCTCCACAAAGATAATTTGAATCTGTAGAAACTAATCAGTGCTTTATCACTGATGGGACACACATCGAGGGGTTCACTATCTTGTCCAGGGACACTTCGACATGTGGCTGCTGGTAGAATCAAACCCCCAACTAATTGGAGTACGACTGCATTAACCACTCAGCCACAGCCCCCACAGGAAGAGCATGAGAATGCCTCAGTATGTTAGAAAAGCTTGTGACAGTGACGCCTGGTGTATTGAGGGAAAATGTTTCCCACTTATTCATCATGTCTCGGCTTTACAGGTTCGCACACTTTTGTTTTTCAGTGTAAGACAGTTTTGATTGAAACTGAGTGGGAGCCATTTTAATTTATAGACTTTTGAAGCTTTATTTTTACTATAAATTCTAGCTTCTTTTTTTTAACTTATTTTATTTTATTTTTTTTAGCAAATGTGACATTAAACTATTTTTGTTATACATAATTGCAAAAAGGTCCCTTTTTAATTTTTAAATGAAAATGGTTATTTTGCCCAAGTCACTGTGCAGGGTTGTAAAAAAAAAAAGAAAAAAGATTATATATATAAAAAAAATTAAATAAAAATAATTTTAATACTAAGCAAAATATAAACAAATTATTAAAATGTTTATCATTATTCAAGTACAGAATATTTTTGTTCTTTTCACTTGTAATTCAAAGATTAACCAGTGGGACATAAATTAACCAGTGGGACATAAATGTTTTTATTTCCATGTTCTGCATCTGATCCACCGTACAGTCAGACTGATGGAGTCTCAGGAAGACTCGAGGGCTCGGCATACTCTATCCTAAGGAGAACAGTCGACTCACGGTCGTTTTCATACATCGTTCATCGTCCACGGGACACGATGCAGAGCTCCAGGGAAGCCCCGCCCCCTGCAGTATACGTTGCTTCCTCTGTGTCTCCACACCGTCCCTGCAGCTGCTGTTTGGTCACAAATCTATCGTGAAGAAAGCTCCAAACTTTCCAACACACAGACTCCTCAGTGCACAATGTGTGCACAATGTGTGCACAGTCTCCTTCCAGGAGTTTTTGGCCATTTTGACTAATTTAGTGTGTTTGAAGAGTCGTACAGCTGAATGTCAGAAACGCGCACGCCAATTTCTGACCAATCACAGAATACTTGGCACAGATGCCTGTGAGGAAAAAGTTTGGCTCGGGCCTTGTATCAAGAAGGGGCGGAGCTACTGTAAGAACAAAATAATGCAATTTTTGTGAAGCAACTACGTCGATGAGCCGATTTCGCCGCTTGAGATGAAACTATTAAGTCTCAAGTGGACTCGGTCTCAGGAGTGTAATTCTCACAAAATAAAATAAAATAAACATCACAAAATTCAGTAAATTAAACCAATTTATTCTTTCCAGAGTTTGCTATAAATAAGCAATTCATACAGATACCATAGCATTTTCATTCACTGAGAACCAGCTGACGTACTGCATCACAATATGGTACGGCAGCTGCACAGTGACAGACGGGGAGAGGCTCCAGAGGGTAGTAAATGCAGCACAGAAGATCATTGGATGCCTTCTCCCCTCCCTGATGGATATTTACGTCTCCCGCTGCCTCAACAGCAGCACACATCATCAAGGTCCGCTCTCGTCCTGGTTTTGAACTGTTAGATCTGCTGCCCTCAGGGAGGCGCTACAGGTGTAGCAGAAAAAAAAAAAAGACTCGGAACAGTTTTTTTTTTTTCTCAAAAGCCATAACCATTCTGAACTCTCACATGCTCTGACTTCAGTCTGTCCTTCCATACCCCCGGACTTCCATTTACTCACATACTGTGCATTGTTTAATATGTTTAAACATCTTTTACTTCATTTATTGACAGTATTGCACAATGCCATAACTGAGCGATATCGGAAGTGTGAAATACCACTACTGTTTTCAGTGCAGCACTAGTTTTTTTTTATTTTTTATTCTGTACCACTAAAGCCACTACTACTGTTTTTAGCATAACTTTGTATTTATTTTTACTTTTTGCTTGTGTATATGTTTGCACTGTGATAGTTACTTTTAGTCTCATTGTACGTGGGTAAAGTGACAAAGTAAAAGGCATTAATTCTGTTTTATTTTTAATATGTTTTAATATCAGTGAATTTTAACTGGGTGGGGGCCACCTCTCTACCCCAATCCCCACCTTTATCGTCACCCCATCCTCAGCCTGCCACACATGGCTTGGGCAGCCATTTTGGGGGCCTTGCTATAGACTAACACTTGTTAGATTTACCTGAACCTTTGTGGGTTACTAAATAACTTAACCCTCACACTTTGTTTGTTCTGACAATTAATTTTACTCATCTTTATTTATAAAGCACCTTAAAACGTAAAAACAAAGACGCACAGAGATTAAATAAAGGCAATTTTAAATTGCACCAAAATCAGTTGTAGCTTTTTGGTTCAGTTCTATGTAAAGGAGAGAAATAATAAAAAAGTACTGGTAAATGACAAATTAATTTGATTTTATTTTGGTAAATTTAGCAAATACTGTCAGCCCTCTAACTGAAAATGGTAGACACTGCAGGTGACACTGCAGAAGGATGCTTTGAATTGGAAAAAAAAAAATCTACAAAATATTTTTCTGTTTCTTGCAGAGTTTGAAACCATCCACTCATCTTTTCGCTCAACTGAGTAAAGTCCTGAAACTCAACAAAGTCCAAGAGGTAAGACAACTCTGCACTGCATCATCACCCACTGCTGAAAGTGGAAATCTGTGATGTCTTTGCGTCTCATGTTAGCAAAATATCTCATTAATCATTAGATGGATTTCAGTGAATGTCTTCAACTGATTGTTTGCAGTCAGCCCAATTGAAAATGCCTGCCACAGCTAATTGACCCCAGCAAACATAAAAATGGCTCCGAGTCGTCTTCCTTTTAGCCGTTCCCTTTTCATGGGTCCCCACAGCGAGACATCCTCCTCCAGCTCACTTTGTCCTCACTCCAACTGCTGCATCCATATTTCTTCTGTCTTTGTCCCGGCAGCCTCGTTCAGATATTAAGCTGAAGTTTGATGTGGTAGTATCTAGGAATGTGCGATATATACGGTACACGGTAGAAACTATAGAAATTTAGCCTACGATAGAGATCTGTCTTCGTAATGCTGTGTCTGAAGTAAAATCAGAGTTGTCAGTTTAATCGTTATTTTATTTTTTTTAAGTTGAAAACTGTGCAAGTGGTGTTAGTCATTTCTTCGAGAGCTAATTGGCGAAGCTACAAGCTAACTACGGCCGGCTTGCCGTAGTGTTGCCGTATTCGGATGCATGCGCAAAACGCTGCGTTCCGTTGAAAGTTTTGTTTTTTTCCCGTCGAAAGTTAAAGTAAGCGTTGGTCAGCTTTAGAGAAACCTGCTCTCTGATCTGTGAAAAGAACGCTGTGTTGTGTGATTTTACTGCGAGACCCTCTGGTCAAAGCCACAGACTCATTTTGTGTCAGCTCTCCATTAAAGGGGAAGGAGACGCCCACTCGAGGTTTGGAGGGTGAAGTGTTTCAGCCTGTACTTGCTGCTCGGTTGCTGTTCATTTCTTAAGTGAGAAGACTGGAAACTGTTAACATATTCTTTAGTTTAAAACATATGGCTAAAACTACATTTGATATCTTTTGCACTGTTTTGCACTACAAGCAAGAAGCCTAATACTTGATTTGTTTATTATTTAAAAACTCTCTGGACCTAGTAGTGGAATTTTCTCAATTCAAAATATATGATGGTAAAAGGACACCCTATGCTTTTTTTTTTTAATTCCTATTTCAAGTTTTATACCAAAAACATATTGCGATATATATATAGTTATCGCCACCCTTCACAATACATATCGTGATATGAATTTTATGCCATATCGCACATTCCTAGTAGTATCCGAGTCATTCACAACACACATGCACTTTGTATTTCTGTGTGAGGCATTACTTCCAAGGAGTAAATCAAAAACTAGTCTGTCCCTTCTCATCATAAATAGTGTTAGTATAAAAAGGCCGTGGGCGTTAAGACAAATTTTATGGACCAAAGTGAGATGTAACAAAATATGAAGTGGATGTTGTTTTTGATTTTAGCTGAGAATAAACATCTGAACCACAGATTTAAACATTTTTTATTCTATTTTAACAATTCTACTTTATTTTCCAGGTGATATTTGGCCTTGCTTTGCTTAACTCCAGCAACACCGACCTTAGGGTTTTCGGTAAGTGTTTGAGTAGATCCTGGCGTAGGAAACTTGCCTTTTTAATATGTGAATTCAGGAAACGGATTTATTATTATTATTTTAATCTCTTGGATTTCTTTATAAAACATTGAGTTCAGTCCTGAAATATGTAAAATATATATATATATATTTTCCTTCTCAGCCGCACAGTTCATTAAGCAGAAACTTCCAGACCTCCTACGTTCATACGTTGACGCGGATCTCAGTGGAACCCAAGAAGGTGGCTTCCAGGACATCGCAATAGAGGTGTTGCACCTGCTGCTCTCCCATCTCCTGTTTGGACAGAAGGGAGCCAGTGGGGTGGGGCAGGACCAGATCGACGCCTTCCTTAAGACACTTTGCCGAGGTAAAGCAGATCAAACGGAACCGTCTGGCTGATGACTAGTCAGTGTCTCAAACTGACATGGCATTTATTTGGAAATGGAAGCAGAAATAAAACTTTTTCTGGGTGGATAATTTGTGTGCATGTACTGGGTTTTAGATTTCCCCCAGGAACGCTGCCCTGTGGTGCTCGCACCACTGCTGTACCCTGAAAAACGGGACATTCTCATGGACAGGATCCTGCCAGACTCAGGGGAGTTAGCTAAGACCATCATGGAGAGCTCTCTTGCCGACTTCATTCAAGAAGTTGGATATGGCTTCTGTGCTAGGTGAGTTCTCTGACCTTTCGGTCTACCTACTTTTGGTTGTTCCAAAAACACGACTGAAGCTCCGAGGAGATCGGGCGTTTTCAGTCATGGGTCCCAAACTGTGGAACAACCTACCTCCCAACATTAGGCATGCCACCTCCCTTCCTGTGTTCAAATCCCTGCTAAAAACATATCTGTTCTCTCTGGCGTTTCATACGAAAATTAACATCCTTTTTTAAGATGACTGTGAACTATTCCAACTTTCTATTATTTTGAAAACCCAGCTGGGCCCAACCGTGTGATGATCACTCTGTTGTGATCTAAATTTTGTAACAAAAGCACAGGATGTGCTTTTTACAGGTTTCTTCAAGGTACCTGTGCAAACTATATCTCAACCCTTTGTGAACAAAAGGCACAAAGGAAGTTTCTGGTAAAAGCCAATTATTAATCAGCATAATTTTAAAGTACGACTTTGAAAAACATTTGTTAGCAAGGAGTATTTAATACCAGTCTCACCTGAATATTCAATGTTAGAAACCAATAAAAACAGTTCTTTCCATCCTTGCAAACTCTGTTAAGTTGATCTTCATACTAATACTGAATCTGATGGATCCCAGTAAACGATGGGTGGTGTGTTCTTTTCTCCAGTCTGGACGAATGCCGAAACATAATCCTCCAGTATGGGGTGAGAGAGGTGACGGCCAGTCAGGTAGCCAGGGTCCTGGGAATGATGGCTCGAACCCACTCTGGTCCATCTGATGACATCACAATTCAGGTATGACACAATCTGATGGAACAGCAGCTAGACATAAGGTTCAGCTGCTTTAGCTTCTTGTATTTGGTTAAAATAATTTTAGAACATGTCAAGAGTTTTACCAAACACCAAAAGATCCAGAAATAACAGGTCTTAGATTTTCTGAAATTTACTTCTTGGTCTTTAGTCTTTATTAATTGTTTCAAGATTTTTAAAGTGGTCTTGTTCTGAAGGTCTTTCAGAAATATGTAATTTTTTCTGCTCTGTTCTTGTACTTGACCATGGTTTATTTTTCTAGAGCTGATTTTTGTTTTAATTTTGGCCATGGGTGAGCTGGCACTGTTTCAGTGGGGGTTTGGGTGGGTAACAGGAGAAGCAGGCATATAGCAAAGTTTTAAGTTCAAGTATCTTTATTATCTCCAAGGGGCAATTTGTTTCACAGTCAGTAGGCCCACAGAACATCCATAATAGACAAGACATTGAGACGTTAATATAAAAGTACAGAAATCATCACTGTTTGTTGAGAAGCCTGATCTCTACAGGGACAAATGCGTTTTTCAGTTTGTGTGTCCTACATCTGGGCTGCAGATACCTGCGTCCAGATGGAAGCAACCTGAACTCATCATGGCGTGGGTGATCAGGATCTGCCAGAATCCTGGCCTTGCTCACTGAACTCGCCTTGTGTATGTCAGTGAGGTTCTGTAGGGCTTTACGTTTATATTTTGCGCGATTTAGAGTCTGAGCTGAGCTGCTAATGTCATTTCCCCGTCCAGAAGTGGCGGAGCTGAGTGGGGGTGAGGGATTTGCTGGTGGGGCACTTGGTTCTACTGACAGGGCGGAGTGCCCTCCTTGGATTATGGTAGGGGAAACACTGGACTAAACATGTCATCACTGGTCAGGTTGGGGAGGGGACCAGAGAAAACTACGGAGTCTGACGTGGTTTTAGCAAAGTCACACACCGAAGCAACATTAATTTTAGTGACCTCCGATTGTTATAACCGAGCGTCATTACTGCCGACTTGAATAACAGTTGTACTGTATTTAGCCTTAGTCTTAGCCAGCAGTTTCAGGTAGGATTCAGTGTCGCCCATTCTGGCCCCCAGAATGCATATAGCTATGGTCGCTGGAGTCCCTAAAGCCACGTTTTGGTCTATGAAGCTGCCAATGACCAGGGTCTGCTGCTCAGCAGGTGTGTCACTGAGTGAGGACAACCGATACCGACTGGAGATGTGATTGTGTCTGTGGTGAACTGGAGGCTTAGTCTTAGCACTACGCTTACTCCAGACCATGTGAAATTACTCCAGCCTCCTACTATGAGTCATCAGCCTCCTAAAAAAATTTAGAGAAGGTTGGCTGTGTCCTAAATCAAAATGTTTTCAGGCATTCTGTCTGTTTAGAAGCATGACGAAAAGTAACGAGGGATGACTAAAACACTGTGTGTTGCCTTTATGTCACATGATGTAGAACAAATGGGCAGGGGCAATTTTAACTTGCTGTATGCACTTCTGGGGGGAGTGGTGGCACAGAGGTTAGAGAAGACGAGCCTGTGACTGGGAGGTCGCAGGCTCAAATCCCCAGACCCTTGTATTAACATTTGAGTGGGTCAGGTGAAGCACTTACGGCTGCCTCCACCCTCATTTACTCCACTGTTATGGGCCTCTCTTATGAAAGGTCTTTACCCCCCAGCTGCTCCCCCGGGCACCCACACGCATCACATGTTGGCTGATCTTGGTTATTTCAAGAAAGACATCAAGTGTAAAAACAGTTTCCAGATCTTCATGCGAGTTTGTTCGCTGTGGTGACCTCTTTGGAAGGAAGCAGGCAAAAGGAAGAGGGAGGAAAAAAAAACTTGCTGTATGCACTTGTGCAACCCACTGACTCATGGACCCAGCTCATGAGTGTATAACTTATTTTTGGTTTTCTTCCACAGTCCATCTCTGCTCCAGGAAGTGGTATCTGGAGTGATGGCAAAGATAAGAACGATGGTTCTCAGGCCCATACCTGGAACGTTGAGGTTCTTATTGACGTTGTCAAAGAAGTGGTACGTTAAGTATTTGTTGCTCAAGATTAACTTCATTAACCTATTAGCAATTCCGCCTGGAATCAAGCTTTGAGTCACTTCATTAAAACCGTTGAATTGAATTGTAAATTTTTTTAACTTACATTTTCTTGAAACAAGTGCCTTCCCTCTGCATGGTAGTAATGAAGTGACGTTTTGTTAGTCTGTTTGACTTTGATCAGGTATATGCTAAGATAAACACCTGTGTTCTTACTAATGTTCGTGATGTTAGCTAGAGCACATGTTGAAGTGCCAACATGTTTAACTTGAATTTACAGACTTTTTCTTCTATCAGGATAGTATGTGCTATAAACCAAAGTTTGCATACGTTAGCTGCTTTAAAACATTTTCCTAGTAGAAATGTAACGTGATTAATATCGTCTGTCTGTTTTGATGGATAATTTCATAGAATCCCAACCTGAACTTCAAAGAGGTGACTTATGAACTGGACCACCCGGGCTTCATAATCCGGGACAGTAAAGGCCTGCATATAGTGGTGCACAGTATCCAGAGAGGGCTGGGCCTGGAGGTCTTCCCTGTCGACCTCATCTACCGACCTTGGAAACATGCTGAGGGACAGGTAACTCAACGTTTGCCACAGCAGGATGGTGGTATTTCATTTACATTTTAAAATAACAGTGATATCAACTAATGTCTGAAACTTAGACATTAAAGGTGGTTTCAAAAGTCTGAACTCTGCGTTGTTTTTCCAGTTATCATTCATTCAGCACTCCCTGATGAACCCAGATGTGTTCTGCTTTGCTGACTATCCTTGTCACACTGTGGCCATCGACATCCTCAAAGCCCCACCAGAGGACGACAACAGAGAAATTGCCACATGGTAAGAAGTCTGGAGCTCACCTGCTCTGTAAACTACAGGCTCTTTTTTTTTTAAATGGGCTTTATGTTTGAGAAATTGTGCCTGAGAATGAAGATAAGATTCAACTTGCTGCATATATCAGATGGTTGATTAAGAAATAAAAAGTCTTAATGTTTAAAGAAACTGTGGAGACTAAGATATAAGTTTTTGACTTTTCATGAAGAAATTCTCGACCTAGTGGAGAGTGGCTATATATGGCAGGTCTTATGGTTCAATGATGTTTTTGTTTTGTTCTTTTGTACCATTTTTTTGTCCGGTTAAGAACGATCGGGGACTAAGGTTGGGCAGTGAGTAAACAAGTTTCTCTCAACTTTTAACAGGAAGAGTCTGGACCTGGTGGAAAGCCTTCTCAGACTCTCTGAGGTTGGGCAGTACGAGCAGGTGAAGCAACTTTTCAGCTTCCCAATCAAGCACTGCCCAGACATGTTGGTTCTGGCACTGCTGCAGATCTCCACCTCCTGGCACACACTGCGCCATGAGCTCATCTCTACCCTAATGCCCATCTTTCTGGGCAACCACCCCAACTCTGCCATTATTCTGCACTATGCCTGGCATGGGCAGGTGGGTGTTGCTTTCCTTGTTTCTGTCTGAATTTTTCCATGGTTTGTTGTTTTTTTCACCATAAAGCACCTGTTCTCTCTAAAAACTCATTACTTTTCCCTTCCTCCATTCAACAGGGCCAGTCTCCTTCCATTCGTCAGCTTATTATGCATTCTATGGCAGAGTGGTACATGAGAGGAGAGCAGTATGATCAGGCTAAGCTGTCTCGCATCCTGGATGTGGCCCAGGACTTGAAGGTTTGTGTGTTTTTGTTCAAACCGATTAACAGATTAATTTTAGTGGTTAAAAACAACTTTATCGGTAATGAATGAAGCCAGAGTAACACTAAAAAGACCCGCACAGCTGCTAAGAATGGCTAAATGACAAAGCTGCTGTAGTTTCCAGGATTTGTTCAGTCTGGTTTTCTTTTGATAAATAAGTGAATATTTGCGGTGTGTGTTTATTTTTCCCCAGTCTCTTTCTATGCTGCTGAATGGTACTCCGTTTGCCTTTGTTATTGACCTTGCTGCACTCGCCTCTCGCCGTGAATACCTCAAACTTGATAAATGGCTGACGGATAAAATCAGAGAGCATGGGGTACGTCTCTAAATTAATCTGTCATCACCAGACGTCTTCTGATTATGACAAGTAGGCTTTGTTCTTATTATTTTAAGAATGCTCATGAAGTTTCTTTGTAACTGTTCTAGGAGCCTTTTATCCAGGCCTGCGTGACATTCCTGAAGAGGCGCTGCCCGTCTATAATGGGGGGTCTGGCCCCTGACAAGGACCAGCCCAAAAGTGCCCAGTTGCCCCCAGAGACTTTAACCACCATGCTGACTTGTTTGAAGTCCTGTGCTGGGTGAGAAAATGGAACTATAATTTTCACATAATGGACTGTACAGTTATCTTACTAATTGATTAATGTTCAGTTCGTATTAAATCCTAACATCTGGTAATAAAAAACAATATTTTATGAAGAATTTAAACTGCAGCTCTTGTTACTGTCTGGTGTTCCACTGAGGCCTTGACGGGTTGAATTATTTGATATTTTAGGAGTGTGTCTCAGGAGTTGTCGGAGACCATCCTCACCATGGCTGCCAACTGTAATAATGTCATGAATAAAGCTCGGCAGCCGCCGCCAGGAGTAATGCCCAAAGGACGAGCCCCGAGTACTAGCAGCTTGGACGCCATCTCACCTGTGCAGGTAGGATGCTGCAGCGGTTCAACTTCATGTTTTTGTGAGGTGTAAAAAAAAAAAAAAATTACTCACTGCAAAGTCATGAAGACTGATTAAAAAAAGAATTAAGAATCATAAAATATGAAACAAAGTTCGCACTATATTTTTATTTTTATTGAAAAATTTGTGAGCGGGTGCCAACCACTCATTTACCTACGGAAACATCTAAAGTGACTGACAACCAGTTAGTGATGGCGCCATCCATGATGGAGATGTCCGACCGTTTGGGTTCATATTCACGCTTAACGTATGCAGAGAAAAAGATGGGTAGAAACTAAACCAACGGGCTAGACGTTTTCTCAAAGCTACGTGTGTTTGAATGATGAGCTCCGTGTTCCTGCTCCACCGTTTTACACGTTCTGTCTTTTCTTTGGTGAGCCTGATGCACTTGATATTTCCATCTAAACGTCTTCTACCGTATTCTATGGTTGTTCAGTTCCTCCATGTTTGGTCACCTTCAAACTACAGGCAACCTGATGTAGCTGTATCACGTGACTCAAGCTCGCACATGGAGCAGACTCAGCTGACTGCTTTGTTCACATTGTGTGTGTGGACTCGTATTTCAGAAATGCGTATCGATAAATCTGAAAAACTCCTGGCGTGAACTCTTGTCATACTGTTTCATTTAATATCGTTTAGGATAAATGTTCATTTTCAAGGTTCTTCATTGTCATTCGCGTCACATGTGGTACATGAGGTGGAACGAAATAGTGTACCCAAGAGCCCAGTTACACCCAAAAATGGCAAAAAAAAAAAAAAAAGTGTAAAAAGAAACAAGGATCTAAGATATACGCCAAACACTAATAATGTAAAATAATACGGTATATTAAACTGCAGCTTGAACATGAACATAAGATTTTTCAAATGACAACATTTATACTTTGCAATAAGTACCAGTATGTTCAATGTGCATTTTGGATTTAGAAAATCACAGATGGGCCTTTGGTGTTATGACTGACGTTGCCCAGTTGTGCCATATACTTCAGACTGTGTGCTTTTCTTCAGATGGACCATCTGACTGGTATGAGCAACTTGAGCCTGGGTGGAACGGCTACCTCCCACACTCAGAGCATGCAGAGCTTCCAAACTTCTCTGACTTCAGCTCTCAGTAACCCCCTCTCCCCTGCAAAGGCCTTCCCACCACTCCCTAACCCTAACCCCAGCACGCCGTTTGGGGGCATTAATATCAGCTCGCAGCTCCCTGCTATGGACTCTGGTACGAAGATATTTGATTTTTTTTTTTTACACAAATGTTCATGTTTGGCCAGGAAGCCAAACATCATTATCAGTGTGTTTGTAGCTGTTGTAGGTAAAACTTCAGAGAAATTAGTTTTAATTGCAATAAAGGGATGTAAATAATACACGATGGGGTAAAGTACAGTAAGAATTAAAATTGGTAAAAAATAAACCCATAACTATGAAACGGTTTGTTTCTGGTAACGGAAAGTCTAAAAATAAAAAATGAACAAAGTTTTGTCTTCATTTCAGGTCCACTGGGCTCAGGTATCGGATCCAACAGTGGCTTTAGTCTGGGAATGCCGACAGTAACAGCCGATCCGTTTGGTACCAGGAAGATAAGCACACCGGGCTTGAACCCGCCTACCTTTCAGCAGAGTAAGATGACGACCTGTAAGTGGTGGTGTGACTGAGAGCCCTGCGCTGTATTTCTTCTACGCTAACTGTAAAAAGTTATTTTCTAAATTTACCTAAATCACTTTAAACTGTTTCAATTGGTTCTCTTCAGCTTTTTATCAACTTGTTGGAAGTTTGGACTGTTGTTTCATTTTATTGTACAACTTTTAAAACTAAAGAGGAAATACAGATCAGTCTTCCGTTCTTTGTCTGCTCACACCTCCACTTTGATTTTTTTTTTTTTTTTAGTCAACGTTTTAAGTTATCACAGTTTTTATATTGTGACTACCCCAACACACACACGCACACACTGAACTATTCCAGTTTTCACTGTTGGGGTTTTATACAGGTTCATCTCAAAATTTTAAATATTGTGAGAACATTAAAAGAATTGTCAATCATTTCAGAAAGCGAAACTCAAATGCATTAGATTCATCACACAGAGTGAAATATTTCAGCCTTCATTTCTTGTAATTTTGATGATTTATAATTTCCAGACATTGAAAACCCAAAATTCAGTGTCTCAGAATATTAGAATATTCCACAGCCAGCTTTTGGTACCTTTGTCAGTGGGGGCAGGAGCCGAGTCCTGCTGGAAAATGAAACCAGCATCTCCATAAACCTGATCATCAGAAGGAAGCATGAAGTCTCTGAAATGTTCTGCTAGATGCTGCGTGGACTGTGGGCTTCAGAAAACCTAGTGGACCAACAGAGGACGTGGCACCAAATCTTCACTGACTGGAAACTCCACACTGGACTTCAAGCCACGTGGATTCTGGACCTCTACACCCATCCTTCAGACTCTTGGACCTTGATTTACAAATGACATGGGGGGGCGTTTGATGCAGTGAAGTTGTGAGACTAAAGGATCTTTTCATCCCAGACCTGCAGTCGTATCATCTCCACAATGTTTTAAAGTGTTCTTGCTGTGGAGAGACTAAAGAAAAGCTGTTTTTAGTGGTGAACATTACAAGCTTAGTCTAAACAGAGCACTGAAACCCTTCATTCAATCCCAGTTCACCATTTTGGGACTTAAAACAATTACTAGATGTGACTGATTTCCATGATTAACGGTGCTTATATTCTTCTGGTGTTTATCATCCCGTTTGTTTTATTCCAGCTGATCTTTCTCAGGTGTGGCCTGAGGCAAACCAGCACTTTAGCAAGGAGATTGATGATGAAGCAAACAGCTACTTCCAGCGAATCTACAACCACCCGCCTCACCCAACTATGTCTGTAGATGAAGTAAGTTGTAACAGGCTTTTTATTTTACTAAAGGGATTAGGTCTTCTGTCTGTTGGAAAGTTTTAAACGCTATGGATTCTTGTACATTTCTCATTCAGGTACTGGAAATGCTTCAAAGGTTCAAGGACTCGACCATCAAGCGGGAACGAGAAGTGTTCAATTGCATGCTTCGAAACTTATTTGAGGAGTATAGATTTTTCCCCCAATACCCCGACAAGGAGCTGCACATCACTGCCTGCCTCTTCGGTGGCATTATCGAGAAAGGTCTTGTGACCTACATGGCCCTGGGCCTGGCCCTGCGATATGTTCTGGAAGCCTTACGGAAACCGTACGGATCAAAAATGTATTACTTTGGAATTGCTGCTCTAGATCGATTCAAAAACAGGTATTGAAATAATTTTATACTGTTTCCGAAATAAGAATGATGTGATTTTTGTTTAACTCGTGCGACTTTATTTTTTAGACTTAAGGACTATCCTCAGTATTGTCAACACCTGGCCTCAATTGCCCACTTTTTGCAGTTTCCTCACCATTTACAAGAGGTGAACCAGTTTCTGTTCACGATTTAAGGCCGTTTTTTGTTTTCCTAAACTGCACAGGATGTGGCCCCGTCTCAAAAGTTTTTAAATGTCCTCTGTGTGCAGTATATCGAGTATGGACAACAGTCCCGGGACCCTCCGGTGAAGATGCAGGGCTCCATCACCACACCTGGAAGCCTGGCTCTGGCCCAAGTTCAGGCCCAGTCACAACAACCTGCCAGCCTCAAAGCCCCACAGCCAGGCCAGCCCAGCACCCTGGTCACCACTACCACCACCACAACCACAGCAGCCAAGACCAGCACCATCACCAGACCTACACCCAGCACCTTCAAGAAAGATATGCCTGTAGGTTTAACTTCACTGATGACTTTTTGTGCTCAATGGTTTCTCTACAGTTCATGTACTTTTCCACACTTTCAGCCTTCCATTAACACCACCAACATAGACACCCTACTGGTGGCCACTGATCAGACAGAAAGGATTGTAGAACCTCCAGAGACCGTTCAGGAGAAGATTGCTTTCATCTTCAACAACCTTTCTCAGTCCAACATGACACAGAAGGTAAAGAGGAAGACAAACACAGTATCGGCTAAGTTTATGTATCCAAAATGCATTTTAAGTTAATATTTTGGTTGTTTTGTTTTTTAATCAGGTTGAAGAGTTAAAAGAAACTGTGAAGGACGAGTTCATGCCATGGGTGTCTCAGTACCTGGTGATGAAGCGTGTCAGCATCGAGCCCAACTTCCACAGTCTCTATTCGAACTTCTTGGACACCCTCAAGAACCCAGAGTTAGTCAAGATGGTTCTCAATGAAACTTACAGGAATATTAAGGTAAAGTTTGAAGTGCAATGCTCGTAAATTAACACCTTTTATCACTTTTAAAACATTTTATCCCAAGTCTTGTTAACGTCTCCTGTAATTTTGATATCTGAAGTCATTTTCTCTCCAAACTTGTCAAGTTTAAAGTGTGTTGGTTTGATGAGGGACCTTAACATGTCATGATGATTTGAAAGAAGTTACTTTGAGTTTGTCCAGTTTTTGTCTAAAGTTGCACATTTATTTTTGACAGGTGCTTCTGACCTCGGATAAGGCAGCTGCAAACTTCTCTGATCGCTCCCTGCTGAAGAACCTGGGCCACTGGTTGGGCATGATAACGCTGGCTAAAAATAAGCCCATTCTATACACAGTAAGAATGAGTTCCAAGTTCGTTCTTTGCTGTGAAGTAATTTGCTGCAGAGTTGTCTAATGCATCGTTTCTCCAGGATCTGGAGCTTAAATCTCTGCTGCTGGAAGCTTATGTGAAAGGCCAGCAGGAGCTGCTTTATGTTGTTCCCTTTGTGGCCAAAGTCTTGGAGTCCAGTCTGCGTAGCATGGTGAGCCACACAGAGACATCTCCTTACTGACCCTGTGGGAACCTCTGCACTCTGAAATGTTCCACTATTTTAAGTGGCACTAATGGTTTTGCATTTTCCCATAAACGCAGCTGGAGACACGCAGCCAGAATTTGTCCAGTTAACTTTTTGCACATTGTTAGTTGAATTTCTAATTTGCGGTGGGTTTTTTTTTTGTATACTGCAGGTTTTCAGACCTCAGAATCCTTGGACTATGGCCATCATGAATGTTCTTGCTGAGCTTCATCAAGAACATGACCTGAAGGTAAGTGTTTACTAATTTTTATCTGCTTGCATGTCTCTGTTACTGGAAGGCCAAGTCCCAACAGATACATACACACACTAGTAGATAAAAATGAGCAGAATTGTATATTGTATACTTTGGAATTTTAGCAGCAAATGGATATTGCACTTGAGAATATAAATAAATACACCTCGAAAATATGGATATTGTCCATGGGTGTTCATGTTATTGACACCAAACCGAGTTCAGGTTTGCCGTTAGTCGGACTGTGGCAAGAAAGAATCTGTTTTAACAGGGTCACGGCTTGGAACACTTCAAACTAATAAGGTTGCCTTTTACTGTGATAAAACTTGGAACAAATACAAATACTGAAGATGATTTGGTCCAAATGTTAATGTTTGAGGTGATGCTGAGGATGTTCTGGTCTTGTTCCTGTAGTTGAACCTAAAGTTTGAGATTGAAGTTCTGTGTAAGAACTTGTCTCTGGACATCAACGAGCTGAAGCCTGGAAACCTGCTGAAAGACAAAGAGAAGCTGAAGAGCCTGGAGGAGCAGCTGTCTGCACCAAAGAAAGAAACCAAACCTCCAGAGGAGCTGCTACCAGCTTCTACCACAGGTTGGCGCTTTCTCAAAGATTCAGACAGGATAAGATGTTTTCTTTTTGCACTCCAGTTTAGAATTTGGTTTTGTTGTTCATTTGGAAAGTAAAACTTCTCAATTTTATCAGTGAAGAAGTTAACTTTTTACTTTTATCAGACTGTTTTTGTGGCATCAGATCATTTCTCTTCAGGATCTTGAAACTGTTGTGATAAAAAAATGTAAAATTTAACACCTGTTTTCATTTTAACTTTGTTTTCTTAAAAGTATTTAAACGGAAATCTTTGTCATTTGAGTTCATTGTTATTTTTGTGTGATCCTAAATATTTGGAGTTAAATAAGCATTTTGTGACCAACAGGAGACTTTGTTCCATTTGCAGCTCCTACCGCAACTCCAGCTGCAACCACCACCACGTGCACGACCACCGGGCCCCCCACGCCACAGTTCAGTTACCATGACATCAACGTGTACTCCCTGGCCGGCCTGGCCCCACACATCAATATAAATGTCAATGTAAGTTTAACGTCAGCGGTTATGAAACAAGGTCCTGTTTGAGTACGAAGCACATCGGAGGAAAAAGATCCGTCTTTATTCGAACAATACGTGTCAAAGAATGTGTGACATTCACAGAAAATATGTTTTTTCTCTGAGGCATTTGTCTGATATTCAGATGGCTTTTATTAAAACGTGTTTCTGGTTTTCTGTTAGATCCCGCTGCTGCAGGCTCATCCTCAGCTGAAGCAATGTGTGCGGCAGTCAGTGGAGCGGGCGGTCCAGGAGCTTGTGCACCCTGTGGTGGATCGTTCCATCAAAATTGCAATGACCACCTGTGAACAAATCATCAAGAAGGATTTTGCCCTGGATTCAGAGGAGTCCCGCATGCGTGTAGCTGCACATCACATGATGAGAAACCTGACTGCTGGCATGGCCATGATCACGTGCCGCGAGCCTCTGCTGATGAGCATCGCCACCAATCTGAAGAACAGCTTCGCTGCTGCGCTCAGGGTAAGCACCTGCATTGAGGAGCAGTTGTCCTCCAATGGGAAAGTTGAGGGTTCTATTCCACCAGCTGTAACATGTTGAAGTGTCCCTGAGCAAGACACTGAACCCCTCATTGCCTCTGATGTGCGTCCCATCGGTGTATGAATGTGATGTAGAGCACTGATTAGTCTCTACAGATTCATATTATTGTTGTAGAGATGTAGTAGAGTGCTGTTTGTGTATGTGTGTGTGTGTGTGTGTGTGTGTGTGTGTTGGAGGTAAATGAGGACACAGATTGTGTTGCAACAGCTTTGAGTATCTTGATTAGATAGAAAGGTGCTATATAATCTGTTTGTGTCTCAAATTACTGGGGGTTTGAGTTGGTAAAACAAGTCTTAACGCACATTATAATTATTAGTTTTTTGTCAAACTTTCTGTCTGCATTATTCCTGCTTTGTTTTGCTCAGGCACCGACCCCCCAGCAGAGGGAGATGATGGAAGAGGCTTCTGCCAGAATCGCCCAGGACAACTGTGAGTTAGCTTGCTGCTTCATTCAGAAAACCGCCGTGGAGAAGGCTGGCCCCGAAATGGACAAGAGACTGGCCACGGTGAGGTTTTTACTGGAACCGACGTATATTTTGGCTGTAACTCGTACATTAATTTACTTCAGTTTATTTATAGAGCGCCGAGTCACAACAGAAGTCGTCTCAGGGCACTGAACAGAAACATTCATATACATAAAAAGCCAAGAGAGAAGCTGAGTGCTGCGTCTATAGCTTTTTAGCTAGCGCATCTAGGCGCCGCTACCTTAGCGCTATGTTAGCGCCGGCAGTTATCAACAGGGGGTGGAGGGTGGATTGTGTGTGAAGGACAGGCAGGTGCTCGGTTCTGTTGACAGGGTGCGACACCCTCTAATAACATTAGGGCAGGGGTCTGCAACCTTTACGATCAAGAGAGCCATTAATGCCCCTTTGTTCACTAAATTAAGCGTTCAGAGCTGCTAAACCTACTACAGTTGTCATTATCAACTGGTGGCCCATGGGCCACTTTAAGTTTGTTGGAGGGTGCTTTTCTGGCCAGTAGGGGTGACATTATAAAGCTGAAAATATCTCATGATTTTTAACATTTTATATTTTTACATTTTAAAACTAAATAAACATTATTGTAAAGAAGGAAAAATAATAATGGTTTTGCCCAATTAAAAAAAAAAACTAAACAACTTAAATTTTCCACAATTAATTCTTTGTATTAGTTCTATTTTTCACATATTTGCAAAGGAAATGACAGAAAAACTGCTAAATCGAACCCTTTTTGTTGTGCTAAGAATCAATAAAATTCAGTTTTAAGTTCGTTTTGGTCAAAGCTTGAAAGAGCCGCTGCGGAGGAACCAAAGGACGCGCATGTGGCTCCAGAGCCGCAGGTTGAAGACCCTTGCGTTCGGGGAAACCGTGATGATGGATGGATGATAGAACGGTCGTGCCATGAAAAGACGTCTTGTGAGAAGACGAGCACATGTTTGTCGTCAGCACAAGCTGCCTGGAGTTCTCTCTGTCAGTCTGGTTGCACAGTTCTGGCATATTTCTTGTCAGGTTTTTAGTAACTGGTTTAAAATCCAAGTAGTCTCATATCAGTAGCTCTGTTCCTTTTTGAGAACAGATTGCCAGGTCCTGCCAGTTAAGAAAAACATGCTTAAACACGTCGTGTGACTATATTTCTATATTAACGCACTGTTGCAGACTGGAAACATTTGAACCTTTTGTCCAACTCTTAATATTGACCCATTATGGTCTTAATTTGTTTTCTGCTGCAGGAGTTTGAACTGAGGAAACACGCTCGCCAAGAAGGTCGCCGTTATTGTGATCCAGTAGTTCTGACCTACCAGGCTGAACGTATGCCCGAGCAGATCAGACTCAAGGTAAACTCACTGTGAAACAGTTGTTAAATATCGAAGGAAAAGGAAGAGCGCCTTAAAGTTTACCGTTGGTCTGCAGTTTGTCTTTATCAGCAGTCCAGATGTTCCACACCTGTTGATAAATGTTTCTCCATGTTGCAGGTGGGAGGAGTGGACCCCAAACAGCTGGCTGTTTATGAGGAGTTTGCCAGGAACATCCCAGGTTTCTTACCAAGCAATGATCTCTCACAACCCACCGGCTTTCTAGCTCAGCCCATGAAGGTGAATTTATCTCCTGTGACCATCCCAAAACAAAACGTAAGAACTAAAATGGTGGAAAGGGAAAGTTTCAAGGTTTCTGCATGCTTAATAAACAATAAAGAAAGGCTAGACTTGTCCAGAATGCTAAAAATGCGCTCAGATGATGGTGTTTGTATTTTTTAAGTATATGGAACACGGTTAATCAACGTTTAAAGTTTAGATGATTTTTTTATTTTATTTTAGAACCAGGCATGGGCCACTGATGACGTGGCTCAGATCTATGATAAGTGCATAGCAGACCTGGAGCAGCATCTTCATGCCATTCCTCCAGCACTTGCCATGAACCCTCTGACCCAGGGCCTGCGGAGTTTACTGGAAGCTGTGGCTTTAGCCAGGAACTCCAGGGATGGGATTGCTGCTCTCGGCCTCCTGCAGAAGGTACAACACTTTGACTCAAACGTTAGCAAGATGAGTTTTTCTACTTTCAGGCAGTTTTAGACCAGCTTTAAAACCTGCACAGAAGCACAGCTGCTCTGTTGTGACGCTCATCACTTTGTGTTTAGAAAGTGTGCAACAAATAGGAGCCTTGTACTGATTTGCTCTGTATTTTCCAGGCTGTGGAGGGTCTTCTGGATGCCACAAGTGGAGCTGATGCTGACTTGCTGCTGCGCTACAGAGAGTGCCACCTGCTGGTGCTGAAAGCCCTGCAGGACGGGCGTGCTTATGGACCACAGTGGTGTAATAAGCAGATCACCAGGTGGGAATCTTGAAACATATTCCTAACCCGAGCGTCCTCGTTGTCACTCCTGTGGGCCCTGGGTGGACCATCAGAAATGCAGATGTGTTCAAATGTCAATGAACTCGGACTGAGAGACGGAAAGATGGAGAACAAACTGAGTGAATCTTGATTTCTGCTTCCCCAGGTGTCTGATTGAATGCCGCGACGAATACAAATACAACGTGGAGGCCGTGGAACTTCTGATCAGGAACCATCTAGTAAACATGCAGCAGTACGACGTGCACCTGGCGCAGGTAAGATTTCGTTCATATCTCTGTAGGCCTGCAGCAAACGGCTGATCAACAGTTTGAATGTTTATTCCTGTTTTGGTCCAGTCTATGGAGAACGGGTTGCACTACATGGCCGTAGCGTTTGCCATGCAGTTGGTGAAGCTGCTGCTGGTGGACGAGCGCAGCGTGAGCCACGTCACCGAGGCCGACCTCTTCCAAACGATCGAGACCTTAATGAGAACCTGCGCACACTCCAGAGCCAATGCACCAGAGGGGTAAAGAACCAGAGCAATGCTAACACAAGATTCAAACCTTTACTGGTTCTAAAGCCACTTACTGGATTTTTTGTTCTTTTATAGATGTTTTAAATCTGATTGTCCAGCAGCTTCTAGTTCGATCCACTCGATTGTAGCGAGTAATGTTTGTTGCTGCCTCCAGTCGTGCTTTTTTAAAATTCATTTTGCTTCTCATCCCAGGCTTCCCCAGCTGATGGATGTTGTTCGCTCCAACTATGAGGCAATGATTGACCGAGCTCAAAGTGGACCCAACTTCATGATGCATTCTGGGATTTCTCAGGCTTCGGAATATGATGATCCTCCAGGCCTGAGAGAGAAGGCCGAGTACCTGCTGAGGGAATGGGTCAACCTGTATCACTCAGCTGCAGCTGGAAGGGACAGCACCAAAGCTTTCTCTGCCTTCGTTGGCCAGGTGAGCTCAGACCCTCTGATCCTCGAACCCCAGCTATCCAAACGCTCGAGTGCTAGCACCGCTCATGTCTCCGTTTCTTCCTTTTCAGATGCATCAGCAGGGCATCTTGAAGACGGATGACCTGATTACGCGGTTCTTCCGTCTGTGCACTGAAATGTGTGTGGAGATCAGCTACCGTGCACAGGCTGAACAGCAGCACAACCCCGCAGCCAGCGCAGCCATCATCCGAGCCAAATGTTACCACAACCTGGACGCCTTTGTGAGGCTCATAGCCCTGCTGGTGAAACACTCTGGAGAGGCCACCAACACGGTGACCAAAATCAACCTTCTCAACAAGGTACAGGAGCCTGATCTAATGTCGAGGCCGAGTCAGGTTTTATAATCTTATTTTATATCAGTGGTTGTTATGATGGATGACAGAAGACTAAACTGTACTTTATATTTTAATTTCTTCTTCCAGGTCCTCGGTATTGTAGTCGGTGTCCTGATTCAGGACCATGATGTCCGTCAAACAGATTTCCAGCAGCTGCCGTACCACCGCATATTCATCATGCTGCTGCTGGAGCTCAATGCCCCCGAACACGTCCTGGAGACCATCAACTTCCAGACCCTCACTGCCTTCTGGTAGGACATCCCTAAATATCCCACCCCTCCCCCGTCTGCATTCAGTTCCAGCCAAAGATGGTCCTGAAGAGTTTCAACCAACTGGTCCATTTGCTTGTTTGACTTTTCTTGGTGCTTCTGTTGTGCAGCAATACGTTTCACATCCTGAGGCCCACTAAAGCCCCGGGCTTCGTGTACGCCTGGCTGGAGCTCATCTCTCACCGCATCTTCATTGCCAGGATGTTGGCACACACGCCACAGCAGAAGGTAGCCAAGAACATTCACCCTCTTCACTCTCGACCCGAACAACAAATGTTCTTTTAAGGAGCAGTATTTTTAACGCTTGGATCGATGTCTTCTTCCAGGGTTGGCCCATGTATGCACAGCTGCTGATTGATCTCTTTAAGTACCTCGCCCCTTTCCTGAGGAATGTAGAGCTCATCAAACCTATGCAAATCCTCTACAAGGTTTAAGTCCACATTAAACTTGAACACTTGTAATTAAGCTTTGAAAAGATTGTCCTAGTGTTTGTTTGGATCCTGTGAACCTAAAACTGCTGTTTGGTTGTGTGCTCATTAGGGCACGCTGAGGGTGCTTCTCGTCCTGCTTCACGACTTCCCAGAGTTCCTGTGTGACTATCATTATGGCTTCTGTGACGTTATTCCACCCAACTGCATCCAGCTCCGCAACCTTATCCTCAGTGCCTTCCCACGCAACATGAGGCTTCCTGACCCCTTCACTCCTAATCTGAAGGTCGAGCTCCTCGCGTCCTTTGACCGCGTTAATATCACTTAAAATGTTTGCATTTGATTCGACTCTGAAGCTTCTCTGAACACTCCTGCCGTAGGTGGACATGCTCAGTGAGATCAATATTGCCCCTCGTATCCTGACCAACTTCACCGGCGTGATGCCGTCTCAGTTCAAGAAGGACCTGGACTCGTATCTGAAGACTCGCTCACCTGTCACTTTCTTGTCTGAGCTGCGCAGTAACCTGCAGGTAGGACCGCTGTCTGTCTGCTCACGGTCTCTTCATAACAAACTTCTAATCTTTCTTTTCGTCTCCCAGGTGTCGAATGAACCAGGAAACCGCTACAACATCCAGCTGATCAACGCTCTAGTGTTGTATGTAGGCACACAGGCCATCGCTCACATCCACAATAAGGGCAGCACCCCCTCCATGAGCACCATCACTCACTCTGCACACATGGACATCTTCCAGAACCTGGCTGTGGACCTGGACACTGAGGGTATGACACTACTGTGATGTTAGCAGTCTGTGAAACCTGAGCCTGGTTTTGTATGTTGAACATCAAGTGGATCGTGTTCTCGTCTGTGTGTTGTCAGGACGTTACTTGTTCCTGAATGCGATCGCCAACCAGCTGCGGTACCCGAACAGCCACACCCACTACTTCAGCTGCACCATGCTTTACCTGTTTGCTGAGGCCAACACCGAGGCTATCCAGGAGCAGATCACGAGGTGAGCCCGTCTGATCTGAGCTCTGCGTCGTAAACTTCTGTGGAGTTCTTCAGCCCAACCCCGTTTGCTGGTCTTCCAGGGTTCTGTTGGAGAGGCTGATTGTGAACAGGCCTCACCCGTGGGGGCTTCTCATCACCTTCATCGAGCTGATTAAGAATCCTGCCTTCAAGTTCTGGAGTCACGACTTTGTGCACTGTGCCCCTGAGATTGAAAAGTAGGTTTCCTGTTTGTCGTGTTGGTGTGAAGTGCAGCTACAGGCTTGATGGACATTTTGGATGTGATGTGTCTCCAGGCTGTTCCAGTCCGTAGCCCAGTGCTGCATGGGGCAGAAGCAGGCCCAGCAGGTTATGGAAGGAACTGGTGCCAGTTAACCTGCGAGCCAGCTTGTAGAGAGACGCCGTGGCCTGGACCCAGCCTGCCGCCACCACACACCTCCTATTTTCCCATTGGCACTGGATAAACTGGTTACCACAGAAGGACTACTGCTCAAAGATGGAGCTGATTTTTTTTTTGTTTTGTTTTCCCTGTTGGGTTGAGACGGAGGGTGAATTTGCTGTTTAAAGAACTTTTTTTGAAGCTTTTGTTGTAAATATTGATAACAGGAGAGCAGGGAAGACAGGAAATTGATGCATTTCACATGTCAGCTAAAATGTATCTTGTTTCACTCACTACCAAAGTCCTTAGTTTGCTTCCTTCCTACACAAATCCTGTTTTTTTTGTTTTGTTTTTTCTGAAGCTGAGTGGCAGATAACTTGAGAAAAAAAAAACTGACTGCCACTTTTGAGTTTCTTTTATTTTGATCTGTTTTTGAGTGGGATTGAAAGTGGTGAAGTCTCAGGTGTGGTGGTAGCGACCGTTTTCTGATGGTTTGTCCATTTGAAACTGGTTCTGGAGGTCTCTCCCTGGCACCTGTAAAATTGTGCAAAGTGATGGTAACAACATAACTTGTATAAAGCTCCAAACTGAAGAACAACAATAGAAGGACCAATACAGCCCATTTTGTAACATTTTGAATGTTTTGTAAATGTATTGGTCCATGTGTTGTATTTTGTAGTCCTTTAGTTCTTGCTACTTAACTGCAGTATGCATTCAGAAAGAAAATAAAAGTATTCAACTGCATTCCTGTGTGGTTTCTTCAGAACTACAGATTTGACATGTTCGTTTAATAAAGCTGTTCAAAGCGTGAACCTTAAACGTAGAGTATAAAGTTAAATACATGAGATGTTCCTCAGAGCCATGACGTAAACATCTGCAGAGCTCCTGGACTGCAGACGAAACCTTGGTGAAATTGCTGACAACATTCTTGAAGCAGACTTGAAATGTGTGTATCTGCAACGACCGAAGTTATAAAATAAAATTCATGTTTTTTGCTTCAAATGCTCCATAGTTTGAGTAAAGAATCGTGGTTTGGAACAGAGTACAGTAGTCCCTCGTTTATCACGGGGGTTACGTTCTGGACACCCCGCCATAAGTGGAAAAACTGCAAAGTAGGAACGTTCCATTTATTTTAGTATTTATTAAGGCTTTACAAACCTGACACAATGTTCTAAAAACCTATTTTAATTTTAACATGGACGTTTCTGTACGGTACTGAAATCAAAACGGATCAAAACTTTCCTTCCATTCCAGCAGAAAGCTACGGCTGGAAGCACTGTTGGCTTCTGGGAAATGACGTCCTTTTGACTGTTGATGCAGTATAGGCTTATTGAGAGAAAACTACAATATAGCTGCATCCGTCCAAAGTAATTTTTTCGTTAACTTTTTACTGTATCCGAGCTTTAGGGCCACGCTAAGAAAAAAAAATTAAAGAGAAAAACGTCAAAATTACAAGAATAATATTACGAGAATACAGTTGTATGAGAATAAAGTCAAAATATTACGAGAATAAAGTCAAAAATATTACGAGACTAAAGTCAATATTACGAGAATAAACTTGTAATATGTCCTGGGTCGGCTCGCACCTGCTGTGGACCATAGACTTATAATACGTAGATGCCTCATTGAGTACTGTACAGCCAGGTCGCCGCCATTTTGAATGTGGCAGAAGTGATGTGTCAGTCATTCACAGTGGCAACATGGAAAAAGCTGAACAAGACTGTTCTTGTTCAAGGTTTATATCTTATAACATATACACACAGACTGCATATATATATATATATATATATATATATATACCCACATGACACCAGAAACTGAGAACATGGATACAAACTTGTGATTTTGAAGGAATAGAAATGTTCTCCCTCATTATCCAGATATTAAACAAAAGGAAAGAAATTGAGTCAATCTTATCTGATGTAAAAAGGAAAAGTTTACTTTGATTTAATGTCAAACAATATTTTTTTTTTTTTAAAAAGGTGTTTGCAAGTGGATAAAAACATCTGGTTTTAACTTTATGACATTTTTCCTCTGGAGTACAAACACTTAAGAAATTAAAATAAGCAGATTTGTACCCTATTCCTAATTATCATCAGCATGTTTTTTAAATCTGGACATCTTTCTGTGATTAGACGAGCTCCTCCGCAGGAGTCAGAAAACATCTGAAGCACTCTGAAGACACCCACAACTTTTATAAGAAAATTTGTCACAAACATGTTCAGATCAGAACTCTTCATGAAAAATGTTATTCCTTGACTGCGAACAGAATTTACTGTCACTTAGAAACTGAAATCACGACTTGGTGAGCTCCATCAGTGTGTACAGGATGGTCTTCTGTCCGAAGCGGACCTGCAGCGCCCTCCTCTGCCGGCTGCTCAGTCCTTCAAGTGCTGCTTTGTCCTCCAGCACGGCCCTGTCTCTGTCCAACAATGTTTCCTCCACTTCTCCGTCTCCGTATGAGCTCAGAGTGACCCGAGCTGCTTCGTGAATTAGTCGTTTCCACGACGCCTCTAATTTAGGAAGACCATCGTTGGAAAAAGCCTGAGAAATGTCCTCATCATCCTCATCATCTTCCTCCCAGCCTTCGTTGTCTTTGAACTCAGACAACTCTTCTTTTGACATGCACAACGCCTGAGGGAAGAAGAGGCAGCCGTGTTTTGTGCGTTCTCTGTGTCGTGCGTCATCTGACATGCTATGTGTGCTCCATCACCTTCAGTGCAGAGCGCAGCTCCGAGTCAGTGAGGCAGCCATGTTTACTGAAGACCAAGGCTTCGTTCTCCTCCAACATCTGACAGAGCACCTCCCACCGCTCCTCCACGAGCTCCCGGTCTGAATCAGACTGAGCATCTGAGAGGGGAGAAGAAGAGCCGAGGAGACGACACTCAAAACGGATTGAGGATTATCAGAAGAGGTCCAAGACTTCAACACTTTTATAGTTTAAACATCTCAGCGGTCGGTTCAACCAACAGGGAACATTTATGAGCATCAAGACCTGTTCTACAAGATTTTTCTTCTTCTTCTTTCGGCTGCTCCCTTCTTAAGGGTTCTCCACAGTGAACTAACTCACACCAAGACTTGACGATTGATTTTACGCCGGATGTCCTTCCTGACGCAACCACAAACCACTGAGCCCTCTGTGTGGAGGGTTTCCAGGAGAGCAGAAGGTGGGGGTTAAGGGCCTTGCTCAAGGGCCCAGAGTGGGACAAATGAGGGTGGAGGCAGGTGTAGATGTTTCACCATTCTCACCCACATTTTGATGCTGTCAGTCCAGGGAGTTGAACCAGCGACCGGCCACCACTCCCCCTGTTTTCTAAAGAATGTTCTGGGCATCCATATATTTCCTCTTTGTCTTTTCCTGGCAGCTGCATTTCTAACATCCTTCTACCAGTATACCCACTGTCCCTCCTCTGGACATGTCCAAACCATCTCAGTGTGTCCTCTCTAACTTTATCTCCCAGTTGTTCAACCTGTGCTGTACCTCTGATGATCTCATTCCTAATCTTATCCATCCTTGTCACTCCTAAAAAGAACCTCAACGTCTTCATTTCTGACTCTTCCAGTTCTGTCTCCTTTTTGTCCATGTCTCTGTCTTCAGACCAGACAACATAGCTGGTCTCACCACTGTCTTGTAAAGTTTTTCCTTTGATCTTTGCTGACACCCTTTTGTCACAAACCACTCGTGAAACTTCTCCATCCACTCCATCCTGCCTGGACTCTCTTTTTCACTTCTTGACAACTCTCCCCATTTTCCTGGACAGTGGACCCCCAAGTACTTGAAGTCCTGCACCTTTGTGACCTCTGCTCCTTGTAGCCTCACTGTTCCACCAGCCTCCCCCTCATTCACACACATGGACCTTGTCTTACTACAGCTGACTTTCGGCATACCTCCACCTCTCCAAGTTCTCTTCCACCTGCTCTGTTCTCACCACAGATCACAATGTCATCTGCAAACATCATAGTCCACGAGGAGTCCTGTCTGACCTCATCTGTTGGTCGGGCCATCACCAGAGCAAACAAGAAGGGGCTCAGAACCGATCCTTGATGCACTCCCACCTCCATCTTGAAGCCATCTGTCTCTCCTACAGCACATCTCACCACTGTCCTGCTGTCCTCATACATGTCCTGTACCAGTCTAACTTCTCTGCCACTCCAGATTTCCTCATGTAACACCACACCTCCTCCCTCGGCATCCTGTCATATGCTTTTTCTAAATCCACAAAGACTGAGAGAAGACTGTACATATACATACATATAATATATATCTATTTATTTTGCGTCATTTTCCTTTAAACTTGAACATTTTTAAACATCGATAAAAGATTTTTCACCTTGTTTGGCAGCTTTGTAGAAGCAGATAACAGGGATGTCTGCCGTGTCGTTGCTGTTGCTTAGATATGACTCTGTGAAGCCGTACATGTGAAGAAGTTGCCAGTTAGCCATCTGCCCGTAGGTGTTAAACACTTCCTTGCCTTTATTGATGGGACACACAGAAACCATCTTCAGACTATCCTAAAGAAAAAAAAAAAGCGTTAGTCAAGGTTTCTGACAACCAGAACTGAAACGTGCTTCTCCTTACAGGCGTGAACTCCAAATTAGCATTGTGGTTAGACACATGGTTCAACATGTCTGCCATGGGAACCATCATCGGAGGGTTGGAGGCCTCTTCCTCATCCTCTTCCTTCGGCTCCTGGAAGCTACAGGGAGGACAGAGAGGGTTAGGAGAGAGACAAAATGAAGAAATTTACCAACGTGCATGCTAACCTGTAGGCCATGACAAAGGCCACCAGTTGGGTGTACAGCTCTAGAGTGTGTGTCTCAGGGTTCCACAGGTCAGGGTGTCGGATCATAAAAGGTAGGACTATGTTTGTGTACTCCTGGGAGATGTTGGATAAGTCCGTGTCCACAGCCTCCGGGATACCTGTTCCTTTCAGCTGTCGGTCTCGCTCTTCTTTGGACCTGAAGGAAGAACATTAAGTGATAACAACGCTTTCAAGTCACTCAACGGATTCTTCAGATGGGATACCAGACACACCAGAACATGGGATGATCCAGCTTTTTGAAGTCAGACCACAGAGACAGGTACGGTTTCCAGTGGGACTGTGAGGAAGTATATTCATAAAGCAGAGCCAGCAGCAGAGGAACCCAGCCAGAGGAGCTCTCCAGAGACGACTTCTCTGTGGAAAAATTAAATAAACTGTATGGAGGAGATGGTCAGGCAGCTCTGAAAACGTCTTCAGAATCGTTACCTTTTTTCAACAAGTCCGAAACTTTTGTAGTTTCCTGGTGGAGAAGAGCAGACCTGGGGATGGTGAATAACACTTCTCCTTTTGCTATGTTGTCTTTCGCCAGCATCCCATAATTTGCTACAGTTTCCTCTTTACTCACATACACCTGGAGAAAAAAAGCTTTTAGGATTAACTTAATTAAATGCATTTAAGAAAGGTTATTTTGTAAGGATGGGCAATGACAGCTGGAGAGTTATAAACAAAATGTACTGTACACCCACTTTTGAAGCTAAAGTTTTGTGTCAGAACAAATAAAAATTGTTGATTCTTATTAAGTCAGAATTAAACAAATACGACTGATGTGGACGATCGAATCTGTCTGAATAGACTCTAGACTAAAATTATTATCTTAAAGCAATGTTCTGTCATGTAACAAGAGTACAGTATACAGATTATAGGCCCGCTGACAAACAGCAATCTGTTGCAACGGCCCGGGAACTGTTGCCTATCAGCAAGAAGGTCTTGGGTTCAATCCCCAGTTTGGACCTGGGGTCTTTCTGTGTGGAGTTTGCATGTCTTTTTCTCTGGGTACTCCGGTTTCCGCTAACACTCTAACACATTCGTTAGGCAACTTCAGGCCCAGGAGGACCTTAAAAAGGACTTACCTGAAGGAAATATTGCAACTTCCAAGAATGGCTGGTTTGCAATTCTTCCTGAAACAATGATCAAAGGTTTTCTATGCCCTTCCATTCAGAGGATTATCAGGTCTTTTAGGGTGAAGTTCAAGTTAGACTTTGGCCTAAAAAACTTTGGAGTTATTTCCTTGACACATTCAAATACCACTGTTGAAGTGAGGACAGTTAGGTTGTAAAAAATACCTTATCACTGAGACGCAGACCAACTGTATGACACCACTGAAGAAAGTCCTGCAGGGGCTCAGAACCATTGTCTACCTGTAAACAGAACCATCAAACAACAGACCATCAGACCAACAGACTATCAGACCAACAGACCATCCAACAGACCATCAGTCCAACAGACCATCAGACCATCAGCCCAACAGACCATCAGTCCATCAGACCAACAGACCAACAGACCATCAGTCCAACAGACCATCAGACCAACAGACCA